CTTCCTTAGTGATAGGTTCTTCCAATCTTTCCTTTTGTCTTTGTGTTAATTCTTGAGTTATAGGGGCCAAAAATTCTTGTAAATATGGATTTGCAGTCGTCGCTTCGACTCTTGAAATATAAAGATTTTTGAAGAAGTCATATGCCACCTTCAGACTACTGGCTGAAGTGGTAGTTTCTTGCCGTGATATCTGTTGTGGATCCTTTAAAGCTTCAATAGACGTTCTTGTAGCTCTGGTGCGAGCCAAAGAAAAGAAAGATGTTTTCATTTGACCTTCTGTCGAATGTTTGAAGAGTTTTCCTCTGATGAGTTGACCTTGCCAACGATGTTGCACAAAGGTTAGTAGTTGATTTCTGAGTGTTAGAATATCAACTGGTTGAGATACTTGTTGTGGACAGTCTTCTTGCTCATATTTGAGAATTTGCTTCTGAATTTTCATTTCCTGCTTATATCTTTCTTTGGCGATTAACTTAGAATATTCATTGCATTTTTTAGCTAAATAAACTAACCCATTATTGAACCATGCTATATATGATTCATGTCTTTCTTTGGTAGAAAGCCAGAAACTCCATACATCCTGAAGAAACGTTTTGAAATCCTTTCGTTTGAGAAGGGAGGTGTTGAGTTTATAGAAACCTCTGCCTTGATCCGGTTTCTTACGAAAGGACAGTAAAACTGCACACATTTTATGATCTATTCCTTTCCATGGGCTTAAGGGAAAATATTAACGCCTGTTAGAGCACAATTTAAGTCTTCAGATATAAGAATAAGATTTATCCTTGATCTTGATTGGTGAGTAGAGCCATCATTTCTAATGCACGTATATGTCCTCTCCTGTGGGCAAAACCGCCTAGCAGCCTGTGTTTGGCTCATGCCCCGTGTCTGGCCCAGGGCCTGCCTCGATACATTTGGAGAAAGGCAGGCAGGGCCTGGACTCACTTAACCAACTGGCGCTGCGCGAATGCCTGAATTTCCGAGCTGCGTCAAAACCCAAAAATAGGACTCTCGTCACTTGTCAGGCCCGCCTTCACTTAGGGCGGCCGTTCTTGTTGAAACAGGGCCCAGTAGGGCTTACCGAGGCCTTTGAGCCTCGCATTTTTATTTTTTATGTGCCTCATTCTGGAAAAGTTACTGTAGTTTCTTCTGTTTTGAGCCACCAGTATGCTTCCCAACTTTTTTCTTTTCCCTCTCGGTACATGTGTTGTGACCTTCGGGGGCCGGGGCCACTGTTCTTGAATTTAACAATGACCTGTCGAGCAGCACCGACCTGCCATCGAACACTGGGAAATGTACCCAGGCAAACCGAATAGCTGGGCAAATATATTAGCCGCTACTTTCGGGGTTCAGGGATACGGGGCCAAAATGGCTGCCGCTGCCAGCAAAAAAGAAAAAAATTGTGGCCTGCGCCTGTTTGTTTGTTTTTTGGCATGCACCAAAAAAAAAAACAAAAAAAAAAAAAACAAAAAAAAAACAAAACAAAACAATTTGGGTCCTGACAAACAGCCTTGGGCATAGTGGCGGTTTAGATAAATGGTCCAGCGCCCAAGCCTTTGATTATGAAAGCGAAATACAATTGAAATACTGGGGCCACTACCAGGCTTCAGCTTGAGATAACATGATCATTGATCTATCTATAGTGGAATATGGGTCCAGCGTCCCCTCAAGCGAAGCCCTTGAATTGAAATGAAACAAGATGATAAAAACAGGACTTCATCTATGACATGCTAAGATGGATGTTCCCACAAAGAATAGTAAACAAGATGATTAGCGTAAACAATTTGCACAACCAGAAAATTGAACTTGGAGAGTAATCAGAAGATGGTCTCTTTAGTATCTGTAATGTTAGGGCACCGGTTGTCAATGCGCATTGTGGTCTGAGGTTGTGGGTTCAGAACTCTGCACCTCCACACAGAGACACCGGCGGGCGTTTACATAATGCAAGGTCACTTGCATACCCTCTTGGGCTGACACAGGTAAGCTATTACAGACACTGCCTGCGCACCACCCAAGGGATCATCCATGGTGTTGTATGTGGCGTCCTGGCCTATGAGGGGTTTGCCTGATACAGTTAGCGGTCTAATGGGGATGCAGGTAGGGGTTTGTGGTTAGACTACTCATGTGTGTTGGTTACCTTAGGCTCTGCTTTGGGGGAGGCAAGGACCTTAGGCGGGATGGGGTCCCGTTTGGGGGGAGGGTTGGCTTGGGACAAGCTCTGCTGGAGGATATCGGTGGGGAACCTACAGTAGGGGATTGTCTTAAGGGATCCCGGTAGGAGGGGTGTTAGTAGACAGATTCTGGTGGAGGAAATCGTTGGGGAGCCTGCAGTAGGTGCTGTCTGAGGGGGATCCTCGATGGTCTGCGTCCGATAAATTAGTTGCTGACTGTAGATAGGTACCTGTCGTGGGTCCAGAAAGGACTTAAAAAAAAAAGAGAAGCTTACTGGACTTGAAATTGTCCCTGCAGTCAATTTATCGGATTTCTTTATTCAAATTTCAAAACAATTTCAATCTATCTTACAAATTAAAGCGAACCCAAAGGGCAATCATGATTGAATCATCATTAAAACTAACCAAAAATCCACTATGGAAAAACGACACAACTGATTGTGAACCTTTAGAAAACCTGCCATAGGCAAAGTTTGTCTGCCCAGCCCTCCTCCCCCCATCTCTCCTCTCTCAGTATGCATGTATGCCAGGAATCACTCTTTTGTAATCCTGCCTCAACTCAGTCCCCTCTATACCCAGAATTTTGTCCCACCTCCATGCAGTAGACAGGAGTAAAGACAACAGACAAGCGACTAAGGCCGCTCTCCTCCCCCTGATCCACATCCCCCTTTCTCCCTTACAGACACTACCACCCCCCACATCCCGTCCTCCATCTGCACTAAATTCTTTTGGCCCCCTCCATCACAAGGTGGAAAAGAAGGAATAGGAAACGGGAGAGGAGATGTGGGAGTGGGAGGAGAAGAGAATCCCTAGGAGGAGGAGGAGAAACATACAAAGAAGTAAAGAGGGGAAAGAAGGAGGTGCATCTCCTCCGGGAGAAGATAAAATGATGGCACAGCTCTGTGCACAGTCCATCTCCTGGACATGGCCCAAGCCTCTCTCCCTTTAAGACGCTACCCCCCGATCCCCTCCATCTGCTGTACAACCAAATCCACCCCCCAGATGGGAAAAAAGAATTAGGAGAACGAAGAGGAGGAGGAGGAGGAGGAGCCTAGAGGCAAAGAAGGTAATATGGAGGGGGGGGAAATATCGTGCCCGCTTCATCTCCTCCACAAGAGAAGATGAAAAGGTGCAGCTCTGCACAAGTTTCATCCCCTTACATCACCCAAGACAACTTGATAAAGATGGTTATTGTTAGACGAGGATCATCATCTTGGAAGCAAAAAAACACCTGGGTGCCGGGGTCAGCACTCCTCCAGCAACCCCTCAGAGGGAGCATACAGGTAGATCACGAAGGGGGGAAGGGCTTGAAGCTCTTTGAGGCAGCACACCTTGCCGTAAGGTGTAGAAAAAAAAGCTGAAAGGATAAGGGCTGTTGAGGTTGGAGTTATCAAAGTGGAAGCTGGCAGTATTCTGCCCATTCGCTGCTGCTCCCCCACGTCCCATGCATGGCGTCTCACATGTATGCATAGGATGATCCTGCGATGTAGCCACCTATCCCTGCGCACATAAGGGCGAACAAGCTGCTCTGCAAACCCACCAGGATCAACCAGGTAATTTTTGCCAACCTGCAGTTGGGTATACGACTTATTTGGCGGGTCCACCTCAGTCCTGGGTATGAAATCTTTTTTGTTTTATTCAAGTGCCCCCTGCTGAAGTGTCTGCAATTCGCCTCTCCTGGTAAAGGCAGGTCTGGAACGTAAATGATCTGGTAACGCTGAACGCATGAAAATTATCTTAACGACGTATTTGGCTTTACGTACCACAGAGAATACACCTTTGCATGATACAGTCGGCACCTCGTGCAACCATCACCTTTCTGCCTATCTCTGCTCAGGTAAGACTGTTTACAATTTGAGTCATCCACTGAAGTGTGGTGCAAGTATTTTCACTCGTGTGCTTGGATCATGTCAGAAGGAGAAAATATTTGAAAGAAAAATAATACTTTGGAGAGCATGAGAGTTGCACGTGCCGGTATTTTTGTTTTCCCTCTACTTGAGGGCCTACTGTGTCCACCCCCAGCCGCTTTGCTAAATGGATGGAACCCTGCTTATACCTGTTAATAGTAAGTAGACCACGAGTTCTAAATTATAATCCTTATGAACGGAGATGGATGTAATGAGGTAAGGGGTTACCCCCTTTCAATTGGGAAAACACAAAGGTCTCCCAGGTTGCAGAGCCCGGCCGGATCTATCTAATCCTGTTTGCCCCCCATGCTTTCACACCTCAGTGTCAGTAGAGAACCAGAAAGCTGCCTTCGCTTTTGGTGTTTGTGGTCTTTGCCAGTAGGCCTACTATGCTCGCTTAGCAATAGAATAATAATGGGCCTACTAGCTTGCGATGACCTATTCGTCAGGGTTCAGTTTACCCCTCGCTCCTCGGCCTTCTATCAAAAAGCCTAACCAGTCACACTTTCACCTATGTTACTAGGTTGCCGTGCCATATAGCAGTTCATTGTTATGCTTGGTTTTCTTGTTCTGTTTGTTATGATTGGTTCTCCTTGGCCTACCAGTGCAGCATTAAGCTAGCTGATTGCAGAGAGTATGTGCTGACCTTAGGAGATCATCCATCGTTACCTAGGGCCGAAAAGTGGGGGTCCCTGTTAACCGCTTGTGGACCTTAGATGCACATCAGTCAGACACTTATCCGATGACGCATGAGGTTACAAAAAGGGGAGGAAAGGTTGAAAGGGAAATAAAGAGGGGAAATGTGCTTGCGCCTTGCAGTGGCAAGTCATTTAAAAGGTTGTGAAAAGGGACGGATCGGTTGAAAGGTTCAAAAGTAAAGGTTGTGTATGGCTGACAGACTGTACCGTTGGTGCTTGCGTCATTGCAGAGGAAACGAGGTCGGCCGCCGAAGAATCGACGATCTGCTGCACCGAAAAGACCGCCGCCGCCGCCCATCATAGGCCCTGATGGTGTCGTTCAGAAGAGAGGGCGTGGGAGGCCAAAGAAAATCATAAGCGAGGTTGCAGATGGCAGTTTGCAAGGGTGAGCAAGTGGGCTGTGCTGTGTTGCCTTCACTTTTCTCTGGCGGATTAGTTTTGTTACCTTCTCTATCTTTATTAATATTAATCTTTAATTTGATTTTGCTGATTGTCTCTCGAGTATTCTGCGACCTAGTATTCCCTGCAATGATTGCTGTCCATGCATTTCCATGGCAACAACTCAATGTTCCATACATGAGGAAAGAAAAAAACGTTCAAATCATCAGCATATTTTTTGGATTGGAGATTGGTGATCCTAGGTACATAGGTATTAAGAGATGTGAGGAAAGAATCAAATCATTACGAAACTCAACACACATGCACACTCCAACATTTTATTAGAAACTGGAGGAATAAATGAAGCAAATCATTACGAAACTCAACACACATGCACACTCCAACATTTCATTAGAAACTGGAGGAATGAATGAAGGAGGAAATGAAGGAAGGAAGGAAGGAAGGAAGGAAGGAAGGAAGGAAGACAGTCAGGCAGGGAGCAAGGCAGGGAGAAAGGCAGGGAGGAAGGCAGAGAGGAAGGCAGGGAGGGAGGGAGGGAGGGAGGGAGGGAG